ATAAAATATGTTGTTAAGCTATATCAAGTTATAAGTCATCACATAATAGGGGTTTGGTATCGACTCTTATCTAACCCTAAGACATCACCAAATTCGAAAACCATCGGTCGTGTAAATTTGCTAACCATAAAACTTGACCGAGTGTGAGATTTTAAACTTGAAACATTTTTCATTAATAAAATAGACAAGACTGTTACCGGTATAAACATCACAGACATTGACAAAAGCACGAGGAACAACACTTAAAAACAAAACAAGAGCAACACGATCCCCTTTAAACAAACTAGAGGTGATCTCAGGTGCTCCGGAAGGCTAAGCAGATCCTGCTTTACATGTGGCACCCGTCGTGTTGATCATGTAAGTATAAACCCGGTGTTAAGTCTAATTTGGTAGGTCACATTCGGAGAAAAGGAGGACGGGATTGTTGTTACGACGATTGGAGAATATCCGTTGTCATTTGTGAAACAGAAATCCATAACGGTCAACAAAGTCGTGAGGGCGTCCGTAAAATTTTCGAATGGATGTATGGCCGGGTAAAATGGCGTTCCGACTATATGGAAATCAAGAAGGAATATTTCGCTCCTTAAACTTTTATTTTAGCAATCCGGCAAGACCGAACAACAAACTCCAAATTAAATGTTATGTAACATGCAAACAATAACAATATATATAAGCACAAGCAATTAAAGGATTAAGACGATTAACAGATACCAAATAGAAATGACAATAGATTAAAAGAGTAATTAGTGACCGACACGTATTTGTAAGTTATTGTCCAAACTGTCACAGAGAATAAATAATTACATAAATAGAGTAAATGCATTTAAGACCTTTGTCCAAGATTATGACACATAATCCGTGTAAAACACTTATGTCTAAATTTACGACAAAGTCCAGAATAATAAAATAAATGCAAAACCTAAATATACATTAAAACAATTAAATAAATAAAATGTTGTTTAAACTATTTTCACACTGCACAGTCCAAATAGTCCGGTCATAGATGATTCAACTTCACTAATTGGAACTCTATCATAAATATCATGATTGGAAACGCAAGGCCTGGCTTATCGTAAAATTGGGAGATATAAACTCCTTATGTTGGTTTCTGGAATGTTGCTGCATAGAAATGGAAACTTTACAATTGGGAAGCTGAAATCATCTCTTTTGTCGTAAATGAGTTCATTATATTTGCTTGTTCCGCTATTGGTATTCAGAGTCACTTGGTCACGTTGGAATCATAATGTGATACCAAAAACTAAATATTTACCTAAACAATTTTTAAAATGTTCATATGCTTCATTGGAATGGATGGAAAAAAACTTTATAGATTGAATTCACAAAAAAAAAATCTTTGTTAAACGCAATACAACTAATGAAAAAGTTAATTTGATTGTACGTAAATTTTAATTTCTTAGTACATGTATATGTCTACCTCAAACATCTGTTACGAAACCTTAATTTTAATACTATCAAACAGATGACAATGTATATATTTGTATTAATTCAGGTATTGCAACTATGTTTCCATCGTCCAATTAAAATTTTTTCATCAACGGTTCATCATGTATTGAATTATAAAGAATTATTTTTTTTCAAAAGTACATCCATCCGACAAAGCAGATTGAAATAACTTTTCAATGTCTACCTATTTGTTTTTTAACATGGTAAGTAACGGCACTTTTGCCATTTGTGTCTATTTTGGAAAATATTAGCTCAACATGTATTATAACATATAGCTATTTTGCAGGTAAAAATAAGCGAACTGACAGAAAAAAAAAAAACACAAAAAAAACGAGTCACTTATATACACACATCTTTTTTTCAGAATGTGATAATCCAAAAAAAAAAAAAAAAACAGTCTGAAAAAAGATGTCTGTATATGGTTTAAAATTTTTGATATTTTTGCTTGAATTGCTGAAACAATTGTTTGTGTTTCCAAACATCAGCAAACATTGTTTTTCCTTTTATGATTTAGTTTTCCGATCGCATACAATGTTGCGTCTATCAATTGTCTGTAATAATAAGAAAAGAATGATTTATATGCTTCATATGTTTCAAGGTGAAGGTCATCATAATCCTGATCAGTGAAATGTCTAACAACAAAAACGCTATAGAGTGGAAAATGTTGTTAACAATACCAAAACATGAGTTTGATACCTTCTGCAGAAATAAACAATTATCTCTACGTTTATTGAACTATTTCGCTTCATTTAATTTCTAACCTGGGGAGTCTAGAAACAAATGCTGCTGTTAAAGTCGGTGTCTATGTGACAAGTAAACAATGGGCATGTTTGAGTCTTTAACTGGGATCCTGCATATTTAGTATTTCAACCTTGAAACCAAAAAGAAAGAAAAAATTAAATATAATATAATTAAATTTTGACAACGGATATTTGAAAAATCTATATTGAAATTATATATCTTTTTTTTAATTTATTGTTTGTTTTATCAATTCATTATTTTGACCGTTCCGTTGTTTCCTGTTATCTGTACATGTCAAATGATTCATTCAAATTCAAGTAGCCACTAAAACTTATGTTCTAGTTGTTACGTTTGTAACGTTTTCATTTTTTGTCTTTCATCAGAAAATGAAATGAAAATGTATCATTTATTAACTAAAAATCAGTTGGAAATGGTTTGACTCGTCAGATAGGCACGAAAATAAAGAAAAACAACTACATGTAGCATAAAGACAAACGACACAAAATACCAGTATAACTTTACTAATGCCAATCTAAGAGCACTATCAGTAACTGAAAGCTAGTTCAAAGCCGAAACCAACTAGTAAATAAATCATGCTCTCCCAGTTTACGGTATCAATTAGTATACATCGAACGGATAAAGTGTAAAGACGTCATAAACAGTCCGAGAAAAGCATGACCCTGATAGACTTTTTGCAAAAAAGAAGAAACCATGGTTTTAGTGCACTCTTGTGATACATTTGTGAAAACACAGCATATTGCCATAAATAACGTGGCAATAAAGCTTATGTATAATATTAAGTGAAAAAAACAAAAATAAGACAATTTCTAATTTCATTTCAGTTGAATTAAGTAAACCAAGTTTGCTTTCAGTACCTGCAAACATTATTTGATTCTTATTAGTTTCTTACTTGTATCTTTATTTTTATTGTCTTCTTAATCGTTATAAAACAAAGTAATTTTCTGACATGATTTTCATTGTACTTTCTTATTTTTACCGTTTAATATTTCACTGGTCGAGATAAGAAGCTAGGGGATCTTCGGTACTTATTAAAAATTGATAAACCCCGCAACAAGTTTATGTGCCAAATTAGCCGATGCATGTTTTTTTTTATTTTGTATTGACGACATATCTCCGATACTGATATTCTCTTTTAAATTTATTCACAATTATTTTAGATTTTGTGCTATTAAGAGCTGCACAAGTTCTGAAGAGAATGCTATTGTTTAAAAACCTCATGTTGACCTCAAGATGTCTTTTTGATTAATTTTTGTTTGGTTGTTGTCTCAAAAATATCGATGCTTTATTCGAATGACAGTAAAATACATTATAATTAGGTTGTGACGTAATTATACATGTAGTCAGCAGTAACATTAGAATATAACATATAACTTATTATTTATCAAATATACTTTATATATAAGCGATTACATTAGGTTTCTTTCTTTATTCTTATAACCTCACGATGGTCTCCTGGTCTCTCCATGATAATGGGAGGTTGTTGGTTCGATCTCCGAAATCTCAAATGTTAAAATCTTGTTGAATATCATTGAGGAACGGTTATTTCTTTTTTAATCAAAATATCCAATGAGGAAACATTTGAATGCCAAACAGAGAACTATTACCTAGTAGTTTTTAAAATGTCTAACGATGAAAACAGATCAAATCTGTCCAATCAGAAGAAATTGAATGTCACACATAGATAATAGATTTGCATTTTGTATAAAGGTTAACATGCTGAGGAAAAAATAGGAAAAAACACTCGCCATAGAAAAATAGAACAATATTGCAAAAATGATGGCCGTTTAAAACGACTCAACTACGCTTACAATTTGGTTTTTAGAAATATCCTTCATTTAAGAAGTTTGACATTGTTTTGGAAGCCGAAAAACGTATGAGATAGGGAGTAGTTTTCTTACATAAAAGGACATAAACAAATTAAACATAAAAAATCGCCTAATTTTTTTTTAATATTTTGAACACAATTATATAATTTACAAAAAATGCAAATTAAATTTGAAATTGACATAAAGAATTAGAATCGCACATATACGGAAAAGAGATCACATGGTTGATGGTATCTTCGAGAACAGAAATTTCATCCAAGATGGAACCTTCTTATGGCAATTATATTAACTGCATGATACCGATTTGAGAACGTACTGTCAAGGCAAAACAAATAAGAAGCCCAAGGCAAAACAAATAAGAAGCCCAAGGCAAAACAAATAAGAAGCCCAATGCAAAACACTATTTTGAAGACAAAAAAACCGTAAACGGTACAAAACAGCCAAACAGTATTAGGTCATCTGAATTTAGGATGTATGTTACATTAAGGTAGTGACTATCAGACATCATTTATAAAAATAAGAAGATGTGGTATGATTGCCAATGAGTCAACTCTCCACAAGAGACCAAATGACACAGAAATTAACAACTATAGGGACCGTACGGCCTTCAACAATGAGCAAAGATCATACTGCATAGTCAGCTATAAAAGATCTCGGAATGACAAATGTAAAACAATTCAAACGAGAAAAAAACAACGGCCTAATTTATGTACAAAATAATGAACGAAAAACAAATATGTTACACATTTGTACATATTCAGGTGGAAGTTATAAATTCGTATAACAATTTCAATACTTTTGCATTAGTTTCCAAAGTAACTTTCAAGACATTCATTCGGGAATACAAGTTTTACGAGCCAAATGTGTTAAATATTTGAAAGGAAGATAAACAAAACAAACAACAAAAGAACCAACACAAATAACAAATATAAACAACAACAAATGATATCGTTTGACACAGTTTATTTCGTTCACTGTTAGTCCTTTTTCGAAGGGCAGCCATTTTTCTGAAATTAAAAGAAAAACCAAATATCAAATAGATGTTTTAAATATATAGAGTTGTTTTACATTCCTTGAATTTTTCTATCTATTGATGAAACATTTATAATATTTTTTTTTTTAATTTGATGAATCTATTTCTTTATCAAACACTGGTATCTTTGTATTAAATGACTTGTTTGTCTTTTTTTTTTATCCTCTTTCTGTTTGTAATGATCTTTTCTAGGATGTTCTGAATGTTATTTATTTGTGATCTGTCATTATGAACTGTCTAACATTATTTGGAAATTATTTAAACCAAAATCAGGAATTGTGATTTTGCATTATGAAATAATTATTTTCTTCTAATTTCATTTATTTTGCACTTACAACATGTCTCTTGCATATAAAGTAAGTTGTAACCTTGCAACTTCTATCGTTCCATAGCCCAGATGGTCGCATCTCTATACAATTTTCATCAGTTCCACCGTTTGGTTCATTACTCTTCCATTTGAAATATTTAACAGGTGCAAAGTTTGACACCCATATCCATTTGCCTGATTCACAGTCAGTTGCTCCTATCCATGCACAACCAATGTTTGCTTCTGAAAGATACATTGTAGTCGAAATTTAACCGTATCATATATATGATATATAAAGCCATTGGGAGTACCGCCTTATAGATATTCTGTAAACAATGATTCTTGTGTATATGGTTTAAAATAGATAATAGCAAGCACCGAACCCCGATGAGAGAGAGAGAGAGAGAGATCGTTTCAGTCATTCGATTTACCTTTCAATTTCGACTTTATCCAGTTGTTTTCATTATCATCATTAATGCTTGAGAGGGACGAACCTTCTGCACGGCAATGCCTCTAAAATTAAATAAGGAAAGACAATTTTTTTGTGCAGTAAAATTAAAAAAAAAAACACTTTTTTTTCAAATTTCAAAATTGTATAGTACATTATTTCGATTTTATTATTTAATCTTTTTGCCTTCAACTATCCATCAAAGCCAAAGGACAAGGGCACGTACATCTACATATCATCGTACAGTCTACAACAATGAACAATATTTTTAGCTTTTAGTCCGTTTGAATAAAGGTCACTGACTACTTTTTTTTTAAAAGTCAATAAATGAATGCACAAACAGTCTGATATATGCTATTAACATTCTACGCTTTTCAATTATGGCAACAAATACAGCAACCTTTTATAATAAATGTGGATTTACCCCGAAACAGATAGATGCAAGGGATGTTACTTTTAGTATTTGGGGAAATTTTTGACTCATATAATACACTTCAAAATATAATGTTGATTTTAAATATTATATTTATAGCTATTAAAATGCATGAGAAAAATCTTCTGTGAAAGGTAGTACTGAATAGTTTAAATATTGTAAAGAATAAAACAACATACGGTTAATTACTTACCCCCTACACAACAAGAATATATATATAAGTACGTCTGAACCAGTGACAACTCTACAACAGATTTATCCATCGGATCACCAGCAGTGATGGTGATACATGGTTGTGTACATTCTGTATATACAACTCGTCTAAACATCAGCCCAACGATGTTAAATCTGTAAATTTGCTTTCGCAAATTTTTTGTTCTTCCCTCGCCGGGATCCGAACTCATGCTACTGAGATATCGTGACACCAAATCGCCTGCACTGTACCTAGATGGCCGTGTGGTCTAGCGCGTCAGATACAGTGCAGGCGATTTGGTGTCACGATATCTCAGTATCCAGCAAATACAGCAATCAATGAAACAATAACAGTACTAAAACGCAGTGATATGCCAGAACAACATTGGAACAGCTGTAAAAATTACATGAAAAGAGCATGACTTATTAAAACACTACTAAGCACAAAAACAACTGGTAACAACATGACGAAGGACGCAGTGCTCTCGAAGACTAAACTATAAATGAATGAAATATTTTTCTTACCTCAGCTTCAAACCAACTTGTCCTCTGTTTACTAATATAGTAACAGTGATCTCTAAAACGTTTCCAGTCCTTCCTACAACCACTATTTGCAAAAACATGTTTTCCTGAAATATTCAACAGACAATAAATTGCTAACAAAGTCTACGAACATTCTTGGAAATCTAAGATCTGACAAAGATGAAAATTAAGATCTGATAACGACGGAAGAACGGTTGAGAACTACAATATGGATAAAACAATGAAAACGTTAACGTTAATGATAAAAGTGAAAGGCACCATCGCCTTTAATCATTAACGTTCTCATTTTCTCTCTCCATATTTCAGTTTGCCATTGTTCTTCAATCGTTATCAGATCTGTTGGACGCTTTAATTGATATATACTGTAACATTTCTCAAACTACACGTTGATTTAATTAGTCTTTTGTTATTTCCTGCCATATTTATTTCAAAAATTGCACTTTGTATTTTCATTGTTTTCCTTTATAATCATTCAAAAAACAGATTCGACCACTTTACTCCGCTCATTAAAATCTTATCAACTCCGATAGTTAAATTTTAGAATGTTTAAATCCTCGTGAACCTCGAATTTTAAAGTTTAAAACGTAACTGCCATAATAGGACTTTTACCGTTTGACAGTAGAATCAATATTTGTTGTATACAGTCAGGATTCTTATTTCATTATTTTAACAATTGTCGCCGGGAGCAGAGATGCAAATTAATGCTTTAAAAATATCATTCTTTTATCTTTCTTTGGAATTTTTTCGGCGGAATTAATGCTTATGCACTAAAAAGATCCACATACACGTGTACCTACCACAATCGACTGTTTTGTTAAAATTTGTCTTTAATTAAAAAGTTTACAACTATCTCAAAGTACCATACTACAGTTAAAGTAAAATCACGTATATAAGATGCAAACAATAATAAATTATGCACCTACATATAACTTTTAAAGCCTATAGAAACAGATGTAAACAATTCAAATATACCTACTGGACCTTTTTCACCTTCTCTAACAAAGAATTCCATTTCTATTGTTTAATATCAACTGGATGTCAGCCTGGTATAGTATTGTATAGGGTATTATTTGTGTTGAACATTTACCCCATATCCTACTTTTTTAGTTAATGAACATTCTGACGTCTTATTCAGTTTTTACCATGTAGTTTCGATACACCTCCGTTGTCTTATCAACAAGTCAAAGTGTTCTGTCGATGGCTATTTTCTAATTGATTATACAAACGCGATAATTATCAAGAATCTCAGATCATCTTTACTCACATCTAATGGTTGTGGGATTTGCTTTATCATTACGGAATTACGTGTTAATAACAGATCTTTGATAATCTCATTTAAATTTATTCAAAACCTTTCGAGATTCTGGCTTATTTAGAACTTGATATATATATATTATATTATATACATTATTATTAAACATCATATGCTGACCATTCTCTCGTCTAGATGTCTTAATGATAGTTTGGGCAGTTGAGCTGCTGTAAAACCAAAGTAAACCTAATCTTCCTTTTATTCATACGCATACAAGTCCCTCATTATTATATTGTTTCAACACTAATGTAAACCATTCTAAGTTATATCTTGGTCATTTATTAATATTATTCCACGTTGACCGTCATAGTTCTGAAATGGATCTTGCTATACAAAGACTGAAAAATCAATTGACTAGAACTAACCTTTAAGTCCCTTTTCCAAGTAACTGATTGTATTTTCAACACCCTTCAACTGGTTTCTCAAGTTATTAAAGTGACTCTTTTCTTGGTTTGCCAGACATACATCGTGTCCACCAACCTCAACACATGTAACTACCAGGCCAACCACAAGCGCAATCATTCTAAAAAATGTGTACAGAAACAAGTAATTGAAAACAATATTGTATGAAAAATGCCTTATCAGAAAAGGTATCGATTTTTGTTTTCCCAATGTCAGAATCATCGAATATTATGTTATGCAAAAGGTTATCTTTATTTACATTGTAAACCTCTTGAAAATTTTTTTTTTTCTAATTTGTGTGAAAACAAAGCGTTTAAATCCCATGTTTTAATAAACAGATATAAAATTAAAAAAAGTACGAAGTATGACATTGAAGAACAATATACATCCAAAAAAAAACACCTCCATCAATTTATGCAACTAAAACGTTTGTAAATGTTGAGACTGACTCGTATAAACACCGTGACGATAGTTTTAAAAATCAAAACAAATGAAATAGATCAAATAATTTAACAACGATTATCTTATTATTGTGAAATCACCAAATATCACTCATTCTTTGGATGAATAATTTGCAGTGCCTATAGCTAGAATTTAAGATGTTCGATTTCTCTTTAAAATTATAATTCATCCATTATTTGGTCACATTCTTTTGAAATAAATTCGTAATTTCATATCTCAATCATGCAAGGTAAATATGTTAAAACATGATATAAACAATCATTTTCTTTAGGTCATTTCAAATTCGTTCATATCAGGATTATAGTAGACACTATTCGTTGCGTATAACGGAAAGAACATACTCTTTGTAAGTAACCAGATGCTGATTAAATAGGAATTTCGTTCTTTGCGAATTCATGTTATATTTGTATTTACAAATATAACGTAAATTAAACAAAAATGTAATAATTTCTAATAATATAATTTTTTTTCTTACCTTGATTTTGAAGCGATGTTGACTTTCGCGCGTACAACGTATATGTATAGTTGTATAACGTGTGCCATCTGTTGCAGCGCATCCTACTGAAATATGATAATGTCAATTTTGAAGTCAGTATCATATTACTTTTTGGATCCCATAATTCCTGTATTTTGTTTTTTGTTTTTATCATAGTTATTACTTCCCGTTTCAGTAAACGAGATGAAAATGAATTATACATGAAATAAATAAGACATAGTTCCAATATTTATACACAAATTTTCAACAACTGTAAGCCTCATCCGGAAGAATATTAATCATGTATTGTCGTTAAATGAGGTAAACCTGTGCTTTTATTGACTTTTGAAAGATAAATATATCAGTCAATAAAACACCTATTTACGAAATAAAAAAAACATTTTGATTTATTTCATTTTCTAAGAAGTATATATAATGACAACCATATTTCAAAACCAATTGTACATTACAATAATCATGCATATAACATATGTAGTAGAAGGTTAAAAATTTAGAATATTAAAGTTTATACTAGTAAAAGTTACATTACATGTATGTTTCATTAAATATTTATGTTGTGAAAACTCCAAAACATTGGGATAGGGGTTATTTTTTAAAATATTATGAAAAACATGTATAATAACAATTTTTTACAAGTTCGATTAAATGACAAATTATCAGATAAACTTAATGCTAACATTGGAGTTAGACAAGGGGATAATCTAAGTCCCAATCTTTTCAAGATATTTGTCAATGATTTGCCGTGTATTTTTGATGATTACTGTGTACCAGCTGAAATAGGAAGTACAAAACTTAATTGTTTATTGTATGCCGATTATGTTGTGCTTCTTTCTACTAGTCAATCAGGATTGAGTAGATGTTTAAATAATTAGAAGAATAATGTAAAAGTTGGTGTATTCAGGTTAATTAATCTTAAGAAAACAAAAATTGTACTTTTTAACAAAGGTGGTAAAATGATTAAATGTAACTTTTATTTTGATGGTGAAGCAGTTGAAAATGTTAAAAATTATAAATATCTAGGTGTTATTTTTTTCTGCTTATGAAAGTTTTTCTACGACTCGATATGATTTGTATCAAAGGGGGATAATAGCTTTCTTCAAGTTAAAAAGTACTTTCGGTAAGAACATCCTGAAAAGTGATAGTTGTTTACATATCTTTGACCACACAATAAAGCCGATTTTACCATATGGCTCAGAAATTCGGGGAACTTGTACTTTTAATTATTCGAAATGTCAAACAGACAACCTCTTTAAAATTGAGAAAAAAATTAGTAAGTTTGATTGCGAGAACTTAATTTTTAGTGATTGATTGTCGGTTGCTTAACGTCCAGTGGCGAATATTTCAATATAATTGTATAGTTCTACAAATACATTCTCTGGCTAAATAAAAAGTCATGTAATTTAGCTGTTATGAGAGAGCTAGGTCGTACTCCATACTTGCATATTGACAGTATTTGTTCTATTCTTAAATTTTTAAAAAGAATTAATGATTTAGAAGAGGATCATTTGTTAAAACAAGCCCTGGTCACAAATTTGGACACTCACAAATGTAATAAGTCATCTTGTTATTCTAGTATTGTATATATCTTAAGATGTATTGATGTTGATATAAAAAGTTTTGACATTGAAAAGGTTAAAAATATTTTGATTAGTAGATATAGGATTTACTGGAAAAACACTATAGACGATAATGCAAATGTTAAAAAAGGAAAATTGCGTACTTATTCTAAATTTAAAAATATCTTTAAAAGGAAAGCATATTTATGTCAAGTTAATAAATTGCAGTATCGAAAAAGCTTCACTCAATTTAGCATCAGTGCTCATCAGTCAGCTATTGAGAAAGGTCGATATAAAAGAATCGATAAAGATAAAAGATTTTGTGGGCAGTGTAAAAATATGCAGGTTGAAGACGAGTTTCATTTTTAACGGATTGCACTGCATACGAAAAATAAAGGAATTTTATTCTTAATGAAGCATGTTTTCGATGTAAAAACTTCCCTTATATTTTAAAGTAAGAACAGTTTATTTGATTGATGTCCAGTGAGTCTGAAAATGTTAATATTTCAGTGTCAAGATTTATTTAAGAATTGAATGCTCCTTTTTGTAAATTTATTGGGGTGTAAAAGCGTTGACCGAAGTACATTTTGTTTGAAGCGCGGAAGCGCTTCATTCTTAAAATGTGCGCACGGTCAACGCTTTTACAACCCTATAAAATTACTTAAAGAAGCATTAAATACAGTTTATAATTACTTTTTTTGGTAAGATCCTGAAAACATGATTTCTATCAATTTTTTCTTTTATTTACCTGTGCACTTTAGTGTGGAAGCTCGTGTTATCATGAATGTTACATTTCATTTTGAAATGAAGGTTAATTTTAGAATGACGCTAGATTGCTGTTAGCCATTCAAAATAACGTATTATAATGAAACATACATGTAAAATAATTATTAGTACTTGTTGTGAAATAAGAGAAAATTTGCATTCCAGAAACTAAATGTGTAGTAGTGATGTAGTTTATGTTTTATGTATTGGAGAGCGTATTTATTTTCAAGCACCATCTGGTATGGAGTATAGTTATTCATTCATTTATAATTTTATTTGGGTATAAAAGCGTTGATCGTGCGCACTATTTCTACTATACTTCTGTAAAAATATACAACTGTAAAAAGTTCGGAGTTCAAATATTACACACATTTAAGACATTTACTGTACGTATTGCTGTGTGTTTGATTTCTCCACATTGGCTAGAGATATAGGGGGAGGGTTGAGATCTCACAAAACATGTTTAACCCCGCTGCATTTTTGCTCCTGTCCCAAGTCAGGAACCTCTGGCCTTTTTTAGTCTTGAATGTTTTATTTTTTAATTTCGGTTCATTTATATGTATCGGAATTTAATGTGACGTCCATTTTCGCTGAACTAGTATACATTATTGTTTAGGGGCCAGCTGAAGCCCGCCTCCGGGTGCGGGATTTTCTCGCTGTGTTGAAGACCCATTGGTGGCCTATGGCTGTTTTCTGCTCTTTGGTCGGGTTGTTGTCTCTTTGACACATTCCCTGTTTCCTTTCTCAATTTCATGTCATAACATGTTAAATAAAAAGAATAAATATGAACCTTAAGCATAAAATAGTGAAATATACAAAACATAGTTGTAGATTACCAAACATTTCTACAGTCTATAAAATTTCGCCTCGTTGTAATTAGGATTCATAATTCCTACTTTATGGTCTAGAAATATCTTTATTTTCTATTCCAGAAATAAACCATGCATAGAGCTTTCAATCATTGCAGCTGAGTAATAAGGAAGTCATAGCAATAGTAAACATTTTGTATTGATACAATAGTTTAAACATGACAAATTTATTCAAGTTGTAGGGATGAATCAACATTTGAATGCAGGAGAACATAAGTTGCTTTTACTTTTCTATGTTGTGTTTTGTATGCTGTTGTTTTTCGTTTTTTTGCCATGGCATTGTCAGTGTGTTATCGAGTCATGAGTTTGAATATCCCTTTGGTATAATCCGCCTTTCATTGAAATTTCATCAAATTATTGAAAAGGATTACAACAGTAATATTAATCATCATATATATCTATAAGCTGTAATTGGCTTTTAACTCATTTTAAGAAATTTCGAATTTCGAGTACTCTTATATATCGGTACTTTGTGTCTTTTGTGTCTTTGGTGTATTTGTTTGTGTTTTTGTCTTTCGTACCGATCTGATGAGTCACACCAATGTACCGAGTAAAGAGAGGCCTGCAGTATTTTTATGTGGCTGTCCCAAGACAGGAGCATGTAATTTAGCTGTTGCCATAGATTGCTATCTGTCTATTTATCTTATGTTTATTGTTCTGGCATAAATCAGGCCTTTGTTTTTCTCGTTTGAATTTGTTTAACATTTTGTCATTCTGTATCCTGATATCACTGCCAACACGTCCTTTGGTCTCTGGTGGCGATCATATAATGCATCTTTATATTAACAACATTTAACTATTCTGACGACCTTTAAATCATGTACAGAGATAATGTCAAGTGTAGAGTAGATAAACATGAAAAAAGAAATTTCGTGTAAATCGTTCTTAAGCTTCACTCTTAGAGCGAGACGATTTTTCCTGTGATATGGGTACATTTTAAACTGTCTGGAGTTTTGAAAATTGATTTTCATCTATTGCGCCATGAAATTTTTTATCAGAATGGTATTTTCTTCTAAATAAATTCCTTACCTCTCATACATGATCAAACTGTTGTATCAAACCTTAGGGTATCAATTGATATTTACTTTATGGCTTGAATGACAAAATTTCTTTCTCATTCACGGGCTCAAGTGCTTTGAAGGTGTAACAAAATAATTCTAGAACCATTTGAGAGTGGCATTCACTATCAATCAGTACACATAAGTCTTTTTTGTACTAAATAATTTCGATTTCACATTACACATTCATGTAAGTAGCTGAAATAACTATATTTAAACAACAAATGCTTACCCGGCCGTAGTCGTGATACTACTCGTGATTTTGATGGGAATTTATATTGTTTTAACATGTTTGTTGTTGCCATTTATTTGTCGCATTCGTGCATTCGTGCTTTGTTTCCTGATTTTATCTTATTTCTTGTTTTCTAGATTTCTATTTGTGATACTACTACTTCACTACTTCATTCATATGTCCATGGATTCCTGGAACGTCCTGCATTTAGTTTCGGAAATATAAAAAGGACAAAATAAGACTTTTCTCTTTAATTCTTTAATGCATTCCTATAATTATAACGATAACGTGTCATTCGACAATCTAGATTACGTAAAAGAAGTAGAACAAAATCGAAATGAAGTGCAATATGAAAAATGATTGTAGAAAAGTTTGATATCGTTTACTGCCCACTAAATATTCCTAAAATACAAAATGAAACTAAATAAGATGAACATTTCAATTTATTTCTGTAAAATTGAAAACAATACTTTATAAATTCAATGCGTCCGACGCGTTTTCTGGATTGACCTTCATCAGGAACGCTCAAAGCCTACTATTTGA